TGATGTTAAGTGGATTCAACCAAAAGGGAGAAAGAGCCCTTGGATCAATTACATTACATATGAAGGTTGAAGAACTCGTTACAAGTACTAAATTTTATATCATCGACGCCGAGACCTCTTTTAACGCTCTTCTGGGTCGACCATGGATTCATGAACAGAATATGCTTCCATCATCTCTACACCAATGCATCAAATACTGCAAAGATGGTCAAGAAAATTGCATCAAAGGAGACCTACAACCATTTTCAGTGCATGAAGTTGGTATCCACATAGATGCTGCCTACTACGCGCCTCCAAAGAGGACTGTCTTCTCTCTTGAAGTTATCACAAAGAAAGATGAAGATTTAAAAAAATTACAAAGAGGAGGCCATTCAACTCCTATATTTTACGTTGATTGAGGATGAAGGTCGAACACTACATACATCTCTAATTTTTCTGTGATGTGGGTGCTCTTCCGAGATCGAGGCCGGAGATGTTGACGAGGAAGGATCAATTTAATTGTTGAACGGACTAGGCTAACCATCAATGTTGGTGATGAAGGCAATTCTGAAGATGATATAATGTTTTCAAGATAGAAGAGACCTCAATACGAGATATCCCTAAAAGATACAGAGAAAAGTGAGTATGAAATAATGTATGATTGGATAAACCACTATGTGAATGCTATGACCTTTACTCCGATTCTCCCTAAAGAGGTCAAGAGTTTAGAGGTCAAAGAAGTCCGTAGTGTTGGTTCAAAGCCGATCAAATTTTACGGCGCTTCTACCTCTACTAATCTTGAAAAACATGTAAATTTGGATGATGAACCTATTGAATTAATGGAATTGCCCTTTGGTTACTTCTCGCCTTGTGTTCAAAAGTTAATTCAACAGGGACACTTACCAAAACAAATGCCAAAAGATAAATTTCAACTTTTTGAAAAATTATGGAATTGTAAAAGTTGAACTCCAAATTCAAGAGAGGGTCTCGGATTTGGAACAGTTGGACCAGTCGATGATTCTAAATTTTGCATGGTTGTTACTGGTAAGTCAGAGGAGGATTACCTCGATATAGAGGATGATCAACTAATAGAAAATGCTCCCCCAAAATTTGAGGAGGTAATTAAATCTACCATTGATGAATTGAAATAGATTAACCTCAAGACTCAAGAACAACCCCGACCTACATTTATAAGTTCACTACTCAATGAAGAAGAGTCTGCAGAATTGATCAAACTATTAACAAAATTCAAAGATTATTTTGCATGGAGCTACGATGAAATGCTAAGACTGTCAGTAGTGATTGCAATTCATAAACTCGGGGTGGAAAAGAATATAACCCCAGTAAAACAAGCTCCCAAGAGAATGCTCCTCAAAATAGAACAACAAGTCATCGCCCAACAAGTCATCGAAGTCATCGCTGAGGTGAAGAAATTACTAGACGCTAACTTTGTGAAAAAGAGCAGTACCCTACATGGTTGGCTAATATTGTACCTATTAAGAAGAAAAATGAACAGATGGGACAGATCTGTGTTTGTGTCGATTTTAGAGATTTGAATAAGGCATCTCTAAAAGACAAATTTCCACTACCCATACCAGAGATGATGGTGGATATCGCTTCAACACATGAAATTTTCTCCTTCATGGATGGAACATCGGGATACAACCAAATCAAGATGGCTCCCAAGGATGCAGCACTTACAGCCTTCAGAACACCGATTAGAATTTTCTGCTACACAGTTATGTCATTTGGACTAAAGAATGCTAGAGCAACATATGAGCGCGCAATGATGAAGATTTTTGAATTCCTCATTCATAATTAAGTAGAATATTGCGTGGATGATTTGGTCATCAAGAGGATTGTGTTCGAACGATTACAACAATACAATCTCAAAATGAGCCCTTAAAGTGCGCCTTTGGCGTTACCTCTGGAAAATTTCTGGGATTCGTTGTCCGTCATCGCGGAATTGAGATTGACCCGGATAAAATTAAAGATATCTTGGAAATGCATCCTCCTGAAACTTTAAAACAACTACGTTCCTTCCAGAGAAAGTTGGCATATCTGAGACACTTTATTTCTAATCTCTCAAGTAGGTGTCAGCCTTCTCGATATTAATTAAAAAGGATGCCAAATTCGTTTGGGAAGAGAAATGTCAGCTGGCCTTCGAGGATGTTAAACAATATTTAATGACACCTCCTGTTTTGGCAGCCCCTATTCCAGAGAAATCGTTGATACTTTATACCATGGACTTAGACGACTCTCTTAGAGCCCTCTTAGCCCAAGTCAATGACTAGGGTAAAGAAAATGCACTCTACTACTTGAGTCGTCGCCTAATACCGACGGAAATGAGATATCCACCTATTGAGAAGCATTGTCAGGCATTAATTTTTGGTGCTCAAAAGCTTAGAAATTACATGCTTTCTCATAAGATTTCCCTAATCTAGAAATTTAATCCGTTGCAATATCTGATGACCCGACCAACACTTTCCGAACATCTAGCAAGATGGTCAATAATCTTATTACAATTTGATATAACTTTTGTTCCCCTCCATTCTATCAAGGGACAGATACTAGCAGACTTTCTTGCTGCACACCCACTGCCAGTTGGGTCCTCTATCCACGACGAGTTACCAGACGAGCAAATACTACAAATGGAATTTTTCAGTGTGCAATGCTGGGAAATGTACTTTGATGGCTCTTCGTCAGCCAAAAAAGACATATGATCAGACACAGTTATACCAGGCAAATTAGGGATTAGTTTGATCTTTATCACACCAGATAAGGGTCTGTTGAGTTTCTCATACCACCTGATAGAGCCGTGCACCAAAAATAAAGCTGAGTATGAAGCTTTAATCACCAAATTGGGAATGGAAATCTCAATGGATATAACGAACATTGCAATCTATGACAACTCCCAACTCGTCATCCAGCAAGTCACCGAACAATACAGAATTCTGAAACCAAGATTAGCAAAATAACATCAGTACACGATGAAGCTCCTGGAGTAGATTCCTGATGTGACTTTCTACTAGATTACTAGGGGAGATAATGCCCATGCCAACGCTCTAGCAAAACTTACTAAGGAAACGACATGTCCCCTATAGGATTCCATTGAAATTACAGTGCAAGGAAGATGATTCTTGTCTCAGATCGACCTCAAAACACTGCACAAGCTCAAAAAAAGAAGAAGCAATAAATGCAGTTGGAGACAGAAATGAAGATTGGTACAAGCCATTAATAGAATATTTGCATACTGGAAAGCTGCCATAAGACAAGTCTGGAGCACATCACATCACAAGAGAGGCTACGTCTTACGCCCTGATTTGAAACGTTCTATACAGAAGATCAGTCGACCAGATGTGGCTACCGTGTTTGAGCAGAACCCAAGCACAGAACATCATCAAAGAGGTACATGCCAAATTGTGTGGCGCTCACCAATCAGGGCCAAAAATGAAAATGAAGATCAAAAGACTCGGGTAATATTCGCCAACAATGATGTCCAACTACATGGATACAACCAGAAAATATCACCAATGCCAAGTGCATGAAGTGGTCATACACTAGCCTCTGAATGTGCTACACCCATTTGTTGCCTCATGGCCATTCGAGTGTTGGGGCACGGACATAATAGGTCTGATAGACCCTCCAATAGGTTTATACTTGCCGCTATAGATTACTTCTCCAATTGGGTAGAGGCAATACCGTTACGTGAGGTTATGGCACAACATGTCCTTCAATTTTTTAAAAGCCAAATTGTCTACCGTTTTGGGGTACCGCGAAGAATAATTTCCGACAATGGGACAGCTTTCAGAAGCACAAAAATCAATAATTTCGTCAAAAGACACGGGATTGATTGGAGATACTCTACGATTTACTATACCAGAGCAAATGGTCTGGCTGAAGCCTTCAATAAAACATTGATATAGATTTTAAAGAAAAAACTGGATGAAAGTAAAAGAGATTGGCGCAACAAACTATTAGAAGCCTTGTGGGCTTACTGGACGACTTTCAGGACTCCCACTCAGTGTACACCCTATATGCTCGTGTACGGGTCCGAGTCCGTGCTACCGCTAGAAACCCAGACACCGTCTCTTAGAGTCGCAGTTGGCAATTTTCTGTTGCCAATCAACTACAATGGGAGAAAGTGCAAAACTCAGACATGAAGAACTGGAAAGTCTTGACGGAAAACGACTAGAAGCACAACAACATTTGGAGCTTTACTTGGCAAAGATGGGACAAGCCCATGACAAATTGGTCCGCCCAAGGACATTCAAAGTTTGTGAACTCGTACTTGTGCTCAAAAGGTCTATTCTTGCACACCGCAAAATAGGTAGAAAATTTGAGCCAACTTGAGAGGGACCATTTGTTGCTAGAAAGGTCTACACAGGAGGAGCCTACCGGTTAGTGGACTTCCATGGCGAAAGACACAAGTTACCAATAAATGGATGATATCTGAAAACCTATTATGCAATCTGATGTCGCTTGCTTTGAAATTTTGAAACTTTGACTATTTTGGGGTTATCTATGTGGCCAAATGTCTATGACCGTGTCCAAATTTTAAAATTAACCTCAATATAATGAAAATTTTTAGAAAAATTTTTTAAACTTCAAATTTTCTTGTTTCCACTTTTGAGTATAATGTTCCACAAAAATTTAAAAAAACTTCTTACGTAAAATAAACAATTCTCTTCACCAAAACAAACCAAAATTTACTTTAATAAATACTTTGTTTTCTTCTTGTTCATGCCAAGTTTTGGCCTACTAATATTTTTCCTGTTGTCTGCAGAAAAATATCAGGACAAAGGCTGATCTTTGCTTTCAAGGATGACTGGAGCCTCACATTGAATGAGGAAATGGCGCCGTAGGGCGGTACCATCGATGAGCAATATGTACCATGGGACTTAGGGTCATTCATTCCTCTAGATGTCGAATCTCATGTTCCAGATCAGCCAGCGCCAGTTTGGGTTCCTGCCAATGTTCAGATGGAGGAGCGCCCGTGATAGCTACCGACTCCTAGTACGATGGAGTACTACACAATAAGTAAGATGAATAAAAGAAAATTTGAATTTTATGAGGAAGTTCAAGGAAGATTCGTCAACATACTGGAAGGCTTGGAGTTGTATACCAGGGTCTTCTCTGAGAGTGATGAAAGAAGCATTCTTGATTGCATCTTTGATTTCAGAGATAGAGTCTGAACGGGCCTTCTCATGGAAAGAACATACTCTGACCTGAAGAAATGGATGAGAGGAAAAGGGAGAATCACCATTCAATGTGGCTGGTGGTATAATTTTACAGGCTGCTGTTATAATTTTACAAATGATAGATAGGGAAATCTGTCAGGGATCCTTAGACATGACCAGGTAGATCCACTATCTCATATAAAAAAGTGGATGATAAAGAGGACGGTTAGATGAAACATACTGCCAGCTACCTGCATCCCAAACAGCTGCATCATCAACATATATGACGAGGATTGCATCCCTCCCCATATAGACCACCATGATTTATTGAGACCCTTCTTCACGGTATCATTCAAAGGAAAAAGCAATATATTATTTGGGAAAGAGATTGATATTGTCGGCTCTGTCGAGTTCAGAGGAGTCGTAGAGATTCCGTTGCTAGTTGGTTCAGTTTTCGTTCTGAAAGGAGTTCTGAAAGGAAATGAGGCAGATGTCACCAAGCATTGCATTCCAGGATGCGACACCGCAGGGTGTCTGTAACCTTCCGTACAATGGACGACAGCAAAGCACCATACGAGTTTCAGCCAGACTCAGAGCTAGAAGAACTACTGCCGTAGGAGCTATGAGAGGGTTGTACCGCTAAGTACATGCAAAGGGAACTCTTGTCCTGGAACATGGTTTAGAAGGTCTGCTAGATCATGAGCTCATCATACCTGAGACAGAGGGTCAGAGGGTTCACTTTTTTTTTACAACAACATGATATGTACCACACATACTCAGCCTATAATGTATACATGGCATGAAATGTTTTGAAGGTACTTTTATAAGGACTATATGTTGTACCTTTTTGAGGCATTAGCCTATGTTTGATCTGTGAGCAGATTAATGGAAATTTCTCTAAAAAATGTGCCTTTTTGTCAATTGCCTTTTTGTACGATGGATGGAAGCCATAAACCACGTGTTGGTTCAGAATTTCATTGAACGAAGAACGAAATAACAAATCTTTAGTAAAAATAAAATTCAAACAAAAATCATCACAAATGAATAAACAACAAAACAAAATTCTTTTGAAAATCAACCAATTAAAATAAAAATTTTAAAGACATATTTTGAAAAATTAAATGTGATGAAAACAACAAGAAAATAAAATGAATATGTTGAGAGAATTCTCTCAATTTTAGAATTTCTTACTCTTTGTGCGTGGAACACAATCATCTTTATCTGCATTAATTCTCTTCACATCCCCGCGGAATTTCACATTCTGCACAAAACCCCACAAAACTCTACAAATCTTTTTCAACAAAATCAACCTTTTCACATGACACATTTCTGCAAATTCAACATCACAAACTCTCTACACTATTTTCATATGACACTCGGAGTCAGTACACAAATTTTGACTCCTCATCTTCGAGATTGTTATAAGACCCCCTTTAATGGAGCATGACATCCAATTCTTAATCCTCGAGGTTGGTCCCTGACTTCCGACTCTCTTTTCAAAAATGATAACTAAAATTTGATTCTCATTTCCAAATTAGTACCTAAATTCTAATTCCTTCACATATTTTCATATTCTATTCACATATATTCACATATATTCACATATTCCCCACGAATTCACATGTGTGAATCTGCATATTTTCTGCAAAAGGACATATATTTTCTTGCCACCTCTTGGGTTGGATGTGAGTCCCAGTGCTTTCCTTCCTAACATGATCGATATATTTTCTTGTTACCTCTTGAGTTGGATGTGAGCCCCAGTGCTTTCCTCCTCAATGCAGCACATATATTCTCTTGTCACCTCTTAGGTTGGATGTGAGTCCTAGTGCTTTCCTTCCTAACGTGATGAATATATTTTCCTGTTACCTCTTGAGTTGGATGTGAGTCCCAACGCTTTCCTCCTTAATATAGCACATATATTCTTTTGTCACCTCTTGGGTTAGATGCGAGTCCTAGGGTTTTACTTCCTAACGTGACACATATATTTTCTTGTTACCTCTTGAGTTGGATGTGAGTCCCAGCGCTTTCCTCCTCAATGTAGCACATATATTCACTTGTCACCTCTTGGGTTGGATGTGAGTCCTAGTGCTTTCATTCCTAACATGACGCATATATTTTCTTGTTACCTCTTGAGTTGGATGTGAGTCCTAGCGCTTTCCTCCTCAATGTAGCACATATTTTTTCTTGTCACCTCTTGGTTTGGATGTGAGTCCTAGTGCTTTCCTTCCTAACGTGACGCATATATTTTCTTGTTACCTCTTGATTTGGATGTGATTCCCAGCGCTTTCCTCCTCAATGTAGCATATATTTTCTTCATCATCGTTTTAGTTGGATGTGAGTCTCAGTGCTTTCCTCCTCAATGTAGCAGATATTTTCTTCATGATCTCTTGGGTTGAATGTGAGTCCCAGTGATTTCCTTCCTAACGTGACATATATATTTTCCCTATCATATGTCAGTTCGAATGTAACTCCCCAGTGGTAACTCGAACTGGTACAGTCCTTTCTTTCTGGTGACATATCCTTAATAGTTTTTGTCTTCTACACTGTTGTTATCCTTTGAGTCGGATGTGAGCCTCTGTGTTTTCCATTTCGATTCGGTCCTCCCACACAATCCTATTATCATCCTTTGAAATCGGTTTCAAGACCACCTTAAATGGATTATGGCATCTGATTCTTATTTCGGGATTGATACCCAAATTTTAATTCCCACCTCGGGGTCAGCAATTATATACTAACTCCCATCCTTTATACATACCTGAAATTTCATAACTCAAAATTCACTCTCAGATCCCCAGCGAGAGTCCCTACTCCTTGGTTTCAATCAGACGATCACCTGCTAATTCCCCAGCAAAAACAAAACACACACACAACTCTACACATACTTCTGGATCTGTTGACTTAAAAGTTTGTATTGGTTTTTGTTGATCTCATTGGTCAATGCCAATATGCGCGGTGTCCATTTGTTGACCTCACTTTTGGTTGAGGTTTAGTTTTTCCTCTTTAGTAGCCTAAGGTCTAGCCATAGGACTTTCCTATTAACTATTCTTAGAAAACTAGACAAGGAACCCTCACCATTAGAAATTCCAAACTCTTCTATACTCAACTTGAAGTTCCACATATTAGTCATAACCTTTAACACTTAGTAGGTGGGGTCACTATGGGGGAACTCAAGATGAGTTACCCTTAGGACTGCTGGACCTTAGGGTTGACCCTGGGTGTTGGTCTAGGGCTTAAGGCACTCACTTTAGTCACAATCACTCACTACCCTAAACCCAGAATTTCCTGACTTTGGTCCCTTGATACTTTTGGGAGACTCATGTAGGTTGTCCCCTAAACCCATTAGCCCTAGGCTAGGTTTTGGCTAAGATCACTGCATGGAGGACCCAAAATGGAGTTTCCATTGGTCCATGACTTATTGATGGTGGTTGGCACTCCAACTCTAACCAAGATACCCAACTTATCCTTTTGCCCCTAAATTCCACAAAAATATCTAGATACCTTTGGGACCCCAAATTTGGCCAAAATTCACAAATCAACCCAAAATATCCAAATTAGTTCAAAAAATCATTTCAAACACCTTGAAAACACCCAAACTACCCAAAATTACCAAAATTGGCTAAATTACCAAAATGCCCCCTACTTAGCCCAAAATTCAAAAAATTCCAAAAAAATCCAAAAAATTTCCAAAACCTCCCAAATATTCCCAATTTATTTTTCTCAACTATCACATGACCCAATTTGGTCATTTTGACCACTTTTGAGAAAAACCCCCAAATTGCCTTTTAAAGGCCCATTTTTTCCCAAACCTCCTCAAATGTCTATCCAATTGGTCTCAATTTCCTATAATTTCAATTATAAACTTAAATTCACCCTTTATATGACAAATATAGACCAAATCCAAGCCCAATTGGTCCCTGATTTGAACCTAATTTTGAGTTAAACCAAAAATCCAATTTTGGCCCTATAACTTGGTTCCACCAAATTAAAAAATTAAACCAATGGCCTACTCCATCTGCCACAATTTGTGTTGAAACATCTTCATAACAATCCTACGCATCAAATTTGAGCTTCAGTTGGCCTTGGTGAAGCCTCAAGTTCATTTAATTTCAACTTAAGTCCAAAAATCCCCAATTTTGCCTCAAATTAGCCTTGTCCCCAAACTTCACCAAATCCCCCAAACTCCACCAAATTGAGGGCCTTAACCCCAGAACTTCCACTCTATGTCTTCATGAAATATATTCACAAAATCTCCCTTGATCATGTGGACATTCAATTTGGACTTAGCCCAAGGATAGCCTAACCTAGACCCATGTCTAGCCCAACATGTCCAAATTGACAAAATTTCAAAAATACCTCAAATTGACTCACCAATTGAACTCAAAATCACTTCAACCCTTCTCCAAAAATCTTCATAACAATCATATACACAATGTTGATCAATCAAGTGGGTCAATTTACATGGCTACCCTAGCCCAAACCAAAGTTTTGATCACTTGGACCCACATTGAACACATGCACTAAAGGTGGCCTAACTATCCTATTGTCATCAAATTAATGACTCCACAGCCATAAGTTGGACCCTAGTGACCAGCATAAACCCCATGAAATCACATAAGCTAAGCCATGGACCAAAGGTCCCCTAAATTAAGGTATTTAATGCCATATTTGCTTAAGTCTTGGATATTTTTGCCAAAACAAAGCCTAAAATCATTAAATTGTTGTGACATATTCTCCTGGCTCACCTGACCTCTCTAGCCACCTCCCCTGGCCGGCCGGCTGGCCTAGTGGCTAGAAAATAGCACAAATGAGAGCCACCACAGAGCCACCACCATGGGATTAAACCTAATTCAAACCTAGAGGCCACCTCATCCAAATTGAAGCTTAGAGCCTCTCTGCCCTCCACCTAGGCAGCACATTTTACTCCCTAATTGGCCATGATAGCAAGCCTAAGGCCATTTTTATTAAATGCTCCCCTCCACGGCCATGGAGAGAGAGCTGAAAATTCCTCTAAGAGAATTCCCCAAATTGATCCCAAAGCCTCTTTGAGAACTCCTCAGTGCAACCCAACCACCACATTGCCCTGAATCCCCCTGCCAGAGACATGACAAAGCTCTCCACACTATAAAATCCACCAAATTAAAATTAAACTCACCCACACCTTCACAACATTGAAAGGCGAAAGACGCCAAGGCCCCATCAAATCCCCCTTCCATAGAACCCCTAGTATAGACTTTGATCGACACCTGAAAACGGCCTTGGTAGAATTTGGGTCTAGGCATTTCACCATAGCAAGAGGCTTAATCCCTAGCTTCTTTGGACCCCAAGGAACATGCCAAGTCTCTCTAATCGAAGCTTCCCTTCTCAGAGCCAAGTTATTGAACCTCTCCTCCTCCCAAGCCTATTTGGATTCTTCATTTGATTAGGCTTAATTTAATTGCATGATTGCCTTAAGGATATGTTCGTCTCACTTAAACGAGTTGATAGGATCAAACCCGAGGTGATTTAGTTGAGTCTATGCTGAGATCTTAGGGTTTTAGTGT